CTGGTGTCACCTTTCGGGCCTTCCGGCCAAAGGGCCAGATGTGGTGGGGAGCCCTGATCGGACATCCCCAGCGGGGGCCAGCGTTTGCAGGGCAGGCTTTCTTCAGCCTACAGCATCCAGACTTAGGGAGGCAGCAAGCCCACATGTTCATGGTTGGATGATATCCAACGAAATGAGCTGGGCAGGGGGCTGTCTCTGGAATGTGGGTGCCTGGTTACCTGGGTTCCAAATTCTGTTGGACTCTGTTGTCAGGGAAGTGAGGTCACCACTGCCTGGGGTCCCCTTACCCAACTTCCTGCTCACACAAAACCCCCACCCCCGAGGGCCCCCTCCCCCAGCTGCTCAATGCTCCCCCTCCGCCCATGCCCCATCCATACAGTGACTCCCTCACAGCCCACCCACAGCCTTCCCAAGGCCTGGGTGCAGCCAGTGTCCCCGCTGTGGGGACACAGAGCTGGCTTCAGACTGGGCTCCTGTGCGTGCCCAGGGCTGTGACCCTGGACAGACCCCGTGCCTCCCAGGGCCTCCCCAGGCTCCCCATCTGCACAGTGGGGTGTTCTGGCTTCTACTCCTAGGGACGCCATCAGGGGTAGGACCTCTACATACATTCCGGACCTGCTATCCCAGGAGGCTGGGGCACACTTGGCAATGCAAGGAGGAGCCAGGGGCTGGGCGGGACATGGAGCACAGCTCAGAGGGGCCTGGGTCTGCTCTGGGGTCTGGGCAAAGCCACCCCCTTCTTGCCTGTTCCCAGCCCCTGTGGGAAGGTTGCAATGAATGGATTCCGACCTTGTCCCCTGGTGACGCACACTTCCAGGGGCTCCCATTAGGTTTAGGCTCAGGCCCCGGGGCCTCGTCTGCGCCCATGTGCTGGGCAGTCCCCACAGTGGTTCCCGGGCATTCCCGCATCCTGCTCACACATCCCTGTGGAATCCCCTCCCCTCCGGGGTGGATGGCCTGTGTGACCGCGCTCTCAGGAAGAGAATGGGGCCAAATGCTGGGATGTCATTTCCAAGCTGATGGAGGAAATTCTGTGACTTCTTCTGCTTCCCTCTGTCGTGTGTTCATTCTCTGTCTCCTTCTCTGTTTCTGTCTCTGTCTCTGTGTCTCTCACAGGAGCAGGATCTGTGGATTCCAGGGGTGATGTGAGAAACCTCAGAATCCTCCCTTGTCCGTGTTTCCCTCTTCTGTCCCGGTGCTCCGTTCCTTCCTAAGGCCTTGTCACCCGGACCAGAGCACTGAATCTGGACCCTCTTCCAAATGGAGACCCGGAGGCTGCAACAAGGAGGGTCTTGGCCTTGGTCCCCAGACTAGTGGTCAGTGCTCTGCCACGTTCTGCGTACCCAGGTCCTCAGCCCCCCAAGCCCCCAGTCTGTCCCCTGCTCCGAAGGACCTCGAGGGAGTACAAAGCATTTTCCCAGGACTGGGAGCACAGGGGGTCGGGGATGCAGATCCAAGGCCAACAGGCTCTCCCACAAGCCTGTGGGACCCTAGGACACTGCATCTCTACAGCCCAAGTGACAGAAGAGTAAGCTGAGGCCTTTGTGCTGGAGCCCCTCTGGACTTGGGGGTGGGTATCTCTTCCTGCTTCCAAGTGCCCAGGCTGGTGATGGACACCGGAACCCAGACCCTGTCCTCTCCCAGTGCCCTGGCAACCCCCCTGGGCCCCTTGGGGACCCCTGACCCTCAGCCTGGCCTGTCTCCTCTCCCCATGTTATGGGTCAGGGTCCTTGCCAGGAGTCCTGATGCCCTGCCCCATAGCCCAGCTGTCTGCAACCTGTTTCTTCTTTCCCCCCTGTCACCCACCTCGCTCCCAGGGTTTCCTCCCCTTCTGACCCCCAGCTTGGCAGTCAGAGTGGTGGGTGTGTGTGGGGGCGTGGGTGTGCAGGTGCACGTGCCTCTACGTGCCTGGGGATGCCAAGGTCATGTCCCCACATGGGACGGGGAGGGTAACTCTTCCCGAGGATCTGAGGGGCTCTCACCCCCAAGGCAAACCTCATTGGAGGGTTGGGACTGGCCTAGGACTGGAGAGCAGCTCCTTGGACTCTGCACCCCTCAGTTGTCCTGGGCCAGTCCCTGCCTCTCTTGACCCAGGTTCGCAACTGTCCCTGAGGGTCGGACATGGAAAGGCTTGAACGTGGCTGCTCCTCCAGGGGGAGGTGGGGGACAGGTGCACCAGGCACGCAGGCCTCCCCACCGAGAGGGCCAGCCAGGTGTGTCATGGCCAGGTGTGCACAGACGACCTGCCCACAGCTCCTGGACCATGACCCAGCCCTGCGGCAGATGTGCACGAGACCCATGGCTCCGCACCTGACCGGTTCCCCGCGTTCCCTCACCACCTCGGAGACAAGGGCTCTTCTTCGTCCTAGGGCCCGTCATCCTTCGGACAATGAGAGCAGAGGGATCCGTATGTAGAGGAGGCCGGCAGGGCTTCCCACGGAACGTCGTGTGCCCATCTCTGCTTTGTCGTCTAGGCTGAGCGGCGGACCCCCACCCAGAAAGAGGCCCACGGGGCAGGGACATTTGTCTGCCCTGTTCCCTGAATTATGGAAAGTGTCTAGAAGGGGCTTCCTGTCCATGTGTGGAGTCGATGAAGCCCAGCCAGCACCTTTCAGATGTCTGAGTGGCTCTGGGGCCCCTCTGCCAGCCCCCAGGGATCCCTGCTCTGGCTCCACCCAGGATTGGAGCCCCAGATGGAATCTGAAACCTCCTCACAGCCAGGAATGCGGCTTTGCCCGGGACACAGGACACCGAGACTTGGGGCAGAGAGCTCCTTCACGGTGGAGAGGAACCGCCTCAGCCCCAGGCCACCCTCCCCATGGGCCGGCCACAGGGTCAGGGAGCGGTCCCAACAGGCCCGACGGCAACCCCGTGTGTGGGGCCTGGCCTCGTGGCACGCAGGGTCCCCAGGAGACACCTGCGGTTCGGAGAGGGGACGTGCCAGGCCCGAGACACACAGCCCTCAGGTGAGGGGGAGCCTCCGGGTGGGGCAGGGGGCCCTGCTCACCTTGGTGAGCAGCAGGTGTGGGAAGGGCTGGGGAGGTGTTCCTCTGGGAGGTGCTCCGGGAGAGGGGCCACAGGAGAGGGCCTGGCCCGGCTCCACCAGCTTCCTCAGGCTGTCAGCACGGACCGCCCACAGCCTCTGGCTCGCCCCCAGCGGCAGGGCCCACTCAGGTTCACGGTGGGGCTGATCTGTGGTAAAGGAGGGACAATTCACAGCACAGAAACTGCAAAACTATTCCTGTCCGTGTCCCGAAGTGCAACAGAATATCCAAATTGGTTCGGAGCTCCAAGCAGGCAAGTGGGCCAATGGATGGAACCCATGGACAGATGGATGGACAGACAGGTGAAGGCCAATGGGTGGAGAGAGAGGGACAAACAAAGTGAGAGATGATGACAGAAGAACAGACAGGCACTACTGAATGGATGGACGCAGAGACATAAAGGATGGGAATAGCAGAGAGATGAATGGACAGAGGCTAAAGAACAGACAGGAGACTAGAGATGAAGGACAGAGGGACAGCGTCAAAAGGAGCCAGGAAGAGACAAGCCAGGCTGCCTGCAGCCCTCCTTGGCCCGAAGCCGAGGTGCCGCATCAGCAGGTGGGGGCAGATAGCCTGTAAGTCCCCTGGCACGCTACACCCCTGCCCTGAAACCGCAGTCTCCTCTCTGGTAAAATCCAGAAAATCATCCCAGACACCCCTAGTGCCTGTGCAGGACTGAAGGAGCCCACATGCACTTGGACTTGGCCCCTTACCGGGGGCACCCTCTGTCTGGACACCTGGGACCTTCTCTCACTTTACAAGGCCGGGGGTGGGTGAGGAAAGGGCTACCGGAGGCAGGAGGAGTCATTCCAGGAGTGGAGGAACCTCCCTTGGGTTCGCTATAAGCTTCACTGACAAATTCATCCTGTAGCTTCCCAAGCAAAAGGCTCATAAAATGTCATCAATGTTCATAACGGTTCATAAAAATGATCAGTTGAGCAGGCAACTTCAAAATGAGGTAGAAATAAGTTTAAAGATGTTTTCACTGTAATTCGGCTCTAGGACCCAGATATTTTCAGAGACGTAAATAATAATACATATGGCACAGAACCAGGCTGGGAGTGGGGAGGACAGGCTCCCACCTTGGGGGCTGGCCCCTCAGCTTTGGCTGAGGAAGCTGGGCCTGTGCTGGGTGCCTACTGTCTCCTAGGCTGGGCCCTTCCTGTACCCTCCCTGGAAGCCCTGTGCTAGGACTTGACCCCACTGACCAGAAGCCACAGCCTGGGCTCCATCCACAGACTGACCATCCTTTGCTCATCTGGAATCTAGAACTTGGGTCTCCCCAGTGCCCTCCCAACTTCCTCATCAGGTCCCCTCATTTTTATCTCCTTGCTATGTCTTGGGTTCGCCGCCCCCTGCCTTCCATCATGCTTCCACAGCCTGAACCACTGCAGACTGGAGCAAACCTCCAACCTCCTGGGCAGGGCCTCCAGAAGGACCCCATCAAAACACACACTCTATCACCCCTCTGCCCAAGAACTTCGGGTGGCTCCTCACTGCCTGGAGCACCGTGTACTACAGGCTCAGCATCCAAAGTCCTTTAGCATTCAGTTGGACCAGACCTGCCAGCCCCCCGCAGCCCCACATCCCCTTCCCTTGTTCTTCCACATCTTTGCAGACATCCTCTTTCCCTAGTGAATGTCTCTACATCCTATGAGACCCCAGGCACACATCACCATCCTCATCTCTGGGTGGGTCTTTGGGAGGGTGGAGGGGGAGGTCGTGGCCTCATCTTTGGGCAGACTGACTCAAATGGTCAGTCCCATGTGGGAGGGTTAGGCTGCCCAGAACCCACCTGTGCTATTGTTAGGGCCTGGGCACAAACCGACCGACAGACCACAGACTAGGGAGGGGACGAAGGGAGGGAGGCTGGAAAGATTTAGAAGCAGACCCACGGGAAATGGAGCAACAAGGCTCCATCCTGCCCACGCACGATGTGTGGGGATAAGCCCAGACCCTACCTGCAGGACGTCTCTCGGAAGGAGATGTTCACGTCCCAGTGGGTGTGGACTCTGCAAGGAAAGAAGCGGAGGGTCAAAGTGGCCTCCAGGATCTGGTACCTGAACAGCAGGGTGTGTGTATGGCATAGCCCTCATCTTCCCCAGAGCGCTGGCCCCAAGGGAACTGGGTTGGCTCGGATTTGTCTCCAGTGCTATCTGGTACCAGCTCAACCAGCCAGTGGCTGCCACCAGGATAGGGCCGTGGGGTAGGAGCCGACTCCTGGTCTCACCAGACAAAGGAATTGGGAAGGACAGAAATGAGGCTGCCACACCTGTCCTTCTTGTTGCAGCGAACCCAGGAGAGCTGCCACATTGTGCTGAGGGCGGGGGTGGGGAGGGGAGCTGCAGCCTCTTCTGCGATCAGCCATGCAACTGAACCAAATTCCTAGTTGCTAGAGCTGCTCCAGCCAGGCTGGAACAGGTCAGGGAGCAAGCCCCATGGCCGCTGCCGGCACCGATGGTCCAGAGTCAGCCCAGGTGGGTGCAGCTTCCTGGGTCCCAGCTGCTACCAGTCTGCCTCCTGAAAGCAACCACCGCACTTGTAGGTAGGAGGGATGCCAAAACGAGAGGTCAAGTAAGGAAACAGCTCTGCCCTCTGCCTGTCCCCTCACTCATAGCCGTGTTCCCAGAAAGACCCTCAGGCTGAGGGATGGTGGTTGGAAGCCTGTGTGGGTGTGTCACCTTAGCAAGCGTGGGTAGGAGGGCTGGGAAGTGGGGGTGTTGGGGGTTTGGGAGGGTTATTTTAGGGCAGGAGATGTTGGAACACGTTGAAAGACTAGGTGGGAAGAGAAAAGGCCTAGAAACTCTGGGGGTGAGTAACATGTGCTGGATGGACAGACAAATGAATGGACCGACGACAGATAGATGGAGGCATGAAGAGGTGAGTGGACAGTGGGAGGTGTCTCTGCCAGGAGAGGAGATGGTGGGAAGTCAGGAAGAGTGGCCCCGAGCCGGGAAGGGACAGTGGGTAGCCAGGAAAGCTGCCTCCTGCCAAGGAGAATGAGCCTGAGAGTTTCAGGGACAGCTCCAGGAAGGGGGCTGCTCAGCTCCTTTCTCTCCGCCTGGCCGTGTTGGTATCAGGCCCTCCCTTGCTGGGTCTCCCTGACTGCCCTCCTCCGAGAGCCCCTGGCCCTTCCTAGAGCCTCCTTCCTTCCCCACATGGAACCTCGTCGACCCCCTCCCTCCAAGTGGGGGCAGTGTAGTTTCTCACTATGGTCTTGTGGCGTCAGGGGTTCAGGCTGTTCCAGCTTCGGCAGATACCAAGACATGACAAGCTCAACCTGGGCCCTGTCCCCAGGGCAAAGGGTCCTCGCCCTGGCCTGGCCTTCAGCTACCTGGAGACACCAGTCTTGATGTCCCGACCAGAGCCCGGGTGCCTCCCCCGAGCCTGGCCCCCAGTAAAAGTACCTTCTCCTCATGAGAGGGACATGTGGGGTGTCCCCCTGTTTCAAGCCTGGTTGCCGCCCACAGGCTGGGCCACTCCCATCGCTGTCACCATCACGGGACGAGAAGCTGGGGGTCAGCTCCTTCTTTAGGACCCGTGCAGTGGGCAGGGCAACTGTCCTCTTGTCTGCCAGCCGCCCCCGGTTCTGGGCAGGGAGGGAAGAGAGGAAGGTTAGGCTGAGCCAGGACCCTCAGGGTCCTGGGAGCTGTGCACTCCAGGCCCAAGCCTCAGGCAGGGTGCAGGTGACGGAAGCCCTCAGAGCAGCTGCTAAGATCAAATAGGCACCATCCCTGGCCCCGCTACAGGGCTTCTAGCCCACAGGACAGGCCCGAGGGTCCACATGGGTCCCAGTGGCTGGAGCTGAAGACAAGAGCAGAAAGATGAGGCCCGGGTCTGCTACCGGGGAGCGGGGTGCAGTGAAGGGCTGTAGGCCCTGGCCAGGCTCCTCGTGACACTGCCTCGTCCAGACTCTGCACTCTAGCCGGAGTGTGGGGGTGCCCACCTGGAGGCAGACCCCAGCTTTCTCGGCCCCAGGGAGCCCCAGGGACCACGTGTGCACAACACAGCATGTCTGCATTCTGCCACGTGTTCAACGTGCAGGTACCTCTGTGTGCTTGTGTCTGCTGGACCGTCCCACAAGCTCCTGCATGAACCCCCAGCCACCGCCAAGTCCTGTCTTCTATTCTGCTAGTGCCACGCAGGGTCCAGTTCAGTGTTGTTTGGAGCCTGAGTCTGGGGCCTGATCCTGCTGACCCCTTGCAAACTGCAGGCCCGGGGTTCACAGGTCACTTGATGGGGAGCCCTTACCAACCTAGACCCTGTGTCCCATGGGCCCCTAGTGAGCCTACCCTCTGGGTCAGAAACAGAGATTCCATTTCTTCCACAGCACCTCCTTCTCCCCTCCCTACACCCATGTTGTGAGGATGTGGAGCTCATGTGTGTGCTGTGTGCTGGGAGATCAGAGCAGGAAGGCATGTCCTGTGCACAGACATGGAGGGTACTCCACACCGAGCTTGTCCGTGCTCAGAGCACACTATACAAGGTCACTATACACCAAGGCTCCCTACAGTGTCCTTAGGTCCTGCTGCCCCAGTGGAAGAAGAAAAGTTACTGATTATTTTCGGGTGGGCAGGAACCCTTTTCTTATTTAATAAGGGGTTGCTGTTTCAGGGGGGTGGCAGGGACCTTGGGATTATCTAATTCTCTCTCATCTCTTCAGTCACCTGGGGACCCTCGGACATCCTCTTTCCTGTTGCAAGGACAATGCCATCATACCCCCGAGCTTGAGGAGGAAAGTGTGGAGGAGGGTCTCGCCTCACCCTGGACCCGTGTCATCCTGGACCTGAAGGACTGCTAAGCAGCCACCATCGTCCTGCCCTCCAGAATAAGGGACCATCCCTTCAGACCCAGCCCACCCCAGCTCCAGATTTGGTCAGTGGCCCCAACAGGGTCAGGGGGCCCTAGTCTTCTCCCCTTGCTTGGTCTGGGGACCACAACTGCCCCCCTCTCCAGGCCCCCCACCGCGAGCCACAGTCTCCCCCATACTTGCCCTTATGAATCCACTTGGGACACCCTCCGTATTCCTCTCTGCAACATACTCAGTGAGAGACCCTGGACAGCACTGGGGCCGGGTGGGAGTCTGAGGGTAGGCCTGAGAGATGAAATGGCCTGCTTTGTGGCCCCTTCTGAGATCCCGGCCTTGGCCCTGTGCTCTAACAGCAAGAGCAGAGAGTGGTTGAGCCGCAGGTGCGAGGGCCTGTCTGGTCCAGCTATTGGGCGCCAAGGGCAGTGTTTTCAACAACCGCTGGCCTGTCTGAAGTGTGCACTGCTGGGAAGTCCCACTCCGGTCTGCCCTTCTCTAGCCTGTGGCCCAAGCACCAGGACCTCCTCTCCTGTCTTTCTGCTTTAATTGAACTATTCTCTTAAGAAGAAAAGGAAATGCATTTCCCTCTGCTTCTCATCTGTAGGGCGAGGAGGAGGGGAAAATGAGGGCAGTAATACCGCCACTTGGGATGAGGCCAGACCAGCTATGCTGGCCTGCGGTGGCTCTTGGAGGTGCTCCTGTGGGAGGGGAGCTGAGGAAGAGGGACCAGGATGGGCAGCCCTGACCCCGACCAAGGACAGGGAGCATACTTTCCTCCTACGCACACCCAAGACCTCAGCCACTCACCCCTGCTCAGCAGCGCACAGATTTGAAAACTCTGTGACAAACCTCTGTTGCTAGTCAACGATTGGCGCCTCAGAACACAAGGAGGGGAACAGGAAAGCCATCTTGCATGTCTGCACGATCCCTGCACCAAATATGCACACCCACATTGTGCCCCTGGGGTATCTGTGGCTGTGAGGTGTGTATGTACCTTCAGGCCTGGCTGTGGGGGATGGAGGAAGACCATCTCTATGTGGCGAAAGCGGGGGCTGGAAAGACAAGGGGGTCTGTGTAGCTCCTTCCTAAGGGAAGGGTACAGGGATGGGCCTGGGAGCGACCAGGTTCAGGAGAGGCAGGCCCAGATCTGAGGCATCCCTCATGCAGGACAGGTACCCGGGAGCCCCAGACAGGTAGGCAGTTCGAGGTCGTGGCCTCATCCCTGCCAGACCTCCCCACCCCTCTCCAATCCAAGCAATGTCCCGGGGAAATTGATACTGGGCTCAGGCCACCTGAACCCCACACTCGTGTGAGAGACCTCTGGAAGGGTGGGCTAAGACAGGCTGGGACCATCCAAGCCGAACAGAAACCCCAGGCTAGCCTTGAGGGTGCCCAGAAGACTCTTCTCCAGTACCAGCTGCTTGAAAAGGTGCGTTAAGTGGAGCGGGAGCTCAGCTTCTTGCCCCAGGCAGGTACCGTAGTAGCAGGTAAGAGGTGGGCTGCCTGTGCGCACATACTCTGACCACGAGCTCATGGCAGACAGGTGTGTGGGGTAGGCACACAGGAGAGGCATGGCTGTATCCTCGTCCCCCTGTCCAACTTGTGTGTCTGATCTGGTGTCTGTATTCACAGGTGTGTTTGTGGCTTCCCCGCCTCCAGGGTCCATGAGGAAACCAAAACATCCCTTCCTCCTTCCTACTTCCAGTCCAAAGTAAAGAAGCTGAAGGTGGTGTCCTGGGTCCTCTCTCACCCCTTCCTGTGTGGGGGGCTGCAGACGCCAGCAATAACAGCACAATCCCAACCACCACCAGCAGCCAGGGCCCTAACCGGCTCTCCCCGAGCAGCTCAAAATTGGTTCCTCTCAAGATGCAATTTCTTCTTCAGATCAGTCCTCCAACTATGGCTGCCTGGAGGACATAGGATGTGGAAGACTGTGCTTCAGGGGCAGGCCCAGCACCCCGATCTCTGCTGCTCCCCTAGGCCAAAGAGGGCGTCAATACATGTCTACACTGGGTTGGGGGTCCCACATCAGCCTCCACCTCCAGATCTTGACACCAAAGGCCCACACTCCTCAGATTCTGCCCCCAACTGGGTTGTATCCTCAGACTCTCCTGGACATCCAGGGCCTTGCCCAGCAGGGTTCTAGCTTTTGGCATCCCAGAGACACATGTTACTCACCTCCAAGCTGTGACCACCCCAGAATGTACATCCAGGCCAGCCAACAGTGTCACATCCCAGAACAAGTGTTACCTTAGGACCAGCCCCTCTCCCAAGCCAGGCCAGCTGACACAGTGACACCCCCACCCCCACCCCAGACCTGTGACAGGGCAGGGTCCCAGGCCCCAGGTGGATGGCACTGTCCAGGGAGGAGACCTTTACAGCCTAGGCTGTCCCCAAGACCTGAGAAGCAGCAGCTCCAAGATAGGGAATGGTCAGGTCCTGCATCCAAAGAGCGGAGGGCTGCCCCAGGATTCCCACCCAAAGCAAAGTCTCCCCTATTTGCCCCTGCGGGGGCTCACTCCTGCACACTGGCAGGGTTGAGGTTAGGACTCTGCATCCTAGAAAACAGGCACACGCTCCACAGGGGAGAAGGAAGACCCAAAGCCCCAACTTTTCTCCCACATCTCACCACCGGGGAGGATATTCGACAGCCCGGACAGTCGCAGATCGGAGGGTGCACCTGCAGAATCCCCTTGGACATAAGCGTCTTCAGACTTTTCCTGTGAGGAGAGCCGAGGCAGGACCGGTGAGAGAGCAGGGCTGGGGCACAGGTAGAGCCGGCACGCACGGGTGCGCTTTCGGGGCGCAGTAAGCTGCAAGGCCGGTTCCCCCTCCTGGCACGTGTAGGAACATCCAACTTCTGAACCCGCTCCCTGGCCCTGCCGCCCACCACACCCTCGCGGACGCCGCGGGGATCTGCGGGGCTCAGAAACTCAAGATCCCGGCAAGCGACGTCCCCTGACCAAGGGCGGCCTCCTCCCCGCCCCCTGCGTCCCTCCTCCCGCTCTCTACCCTCTCTCCAAGCCGGTCCGGGGGAACTGGGAACAGGGTTCACGAAGGTAGAGCCTGCGCGCAGGTGAGGACCAGGGCTGTGTCTGAGCCCTCAGCGGGAGGAGGGCGGCCACAGCAGAGCCGGGAGCCTCAAAGCCCAGCGCGACGGGGTCCCCAACTTTCTAAGATCCCCCACCCCCGCCCCTGTCGCTCGCTGCGCTTCCCCCCGTTTGCCTGCTCCGGCGCCCTCGCCACGCGCCCTCGGAGCCAGACTCCTGAATGCTCTGAGCAGGCTGCTCCCAGCCCCGCCGCCGGTCCAGCTCCGCGCGCGCCCCCGCCCCGACGCGCGCCCCCGCGGCCCCCACCTGCCTACGACACCCCTACACCTTCCCTTGCCTTCCAGCAACTCGCACCCGCACCCCGGCCGCCCGTGGGCCCCTCTACTCCCGCTGGAACCTGGTGGCTCCCCGACCCGGGAGGGAAGTGGGGTCCCGCCCAGCCGGCCTCCCGCCGTCTCCCGAGTTCCCCTAAACTTCCCCTGGGCCACACAGCCCAGGAATCCCGCAAAGACCTTCCGAGTGGGAGGAGGGGCCGGCTCGTGTGCAGCCGGGAGCCCAGAGCACCGCGGCTCAAGCTGAGGTGGCGGTGGAGGCCGAGGGCGCTCTGCTCGGGTCCACCAAGGCGACCGTGCTGGGGGCGGTGGGGGGGGGAGTGTCCCCGCGGCAGCCCCAGAGTCGCAGCGCCCTCTCCGGGCGGAGATGGAGTCTCCCAGGTGGCAGAATGAGGGGGTCCGGACCCAGGGGTCCTCGGGGAGCAGAGGGGAGGGACCGTAGCGGCCTGCGCCCCCACCGCGGCCGCACCTTTGTGGCGGATGCTGCGCCTCCAGTCCTTGGCCGTCTCTCGGCCGCTGACGAACTGGAACTCGTTGGGTGTGAGCCACTCGCCGCGGTGGCGGATGGACGGACCCTTGCTGCCTTGGCTGATCAGTTCACCCCTACCCCCACCCAGTTTGCGCACGGAGAGCAGCGCGCGATTGGCGCCGCGCTCCACCTCGATGCCCAGCTCGCCGTTGTCCAGCAGCGGCTGGAAATCGGGGCCGCGGCCGCAGTGGCTGAGACGCGTTCGGGGGCCAGAGGGCCCCGGGGCAGGTGGAGGTGCGGGGCGGCCTCGTGCAGGCTCAGGTAGGCGCGCGGGGAGCGGAGTGGTGGAGCCCACAGCGCCTCGTAGCCAGCGGTCGCGGCGGGTAGCGAGGCGGCCGGGGGCAGGGTGGCCACGGCCGGCAGCGGTGTCGGGTAGCCTGGGAGCGGCGGCAGTGGCAGTGTGGCCAGGGTCGGATGGAAGGTGGCCAGAGCCAGGGCCAGGTCTTCGCGGCCTGGGAGCTCCTTCTTGACCGCTGGCGTGACGGGCCTGTGGCCTTGTAGCCTGGCTCTCCGCCGCCGGCGCCACTTGCTCGGGCCTGGGCTGGCGTTGGGTCTCGAGGGCGGGGGGCCCGGGAGTCTCCCGGCGGCGCGCCCGCCCTACCCGCTACTGCGCCCCGGCACCTGCGGCCGTGCCGCCCGCCGGGCCACCACGGGCCGCTTCTCGGCCGGCTGCCGGGGCCTTGGCTGCCCGAGACATGGTGCTGCGGGAGCTCCTCTCGATCCCCTATCGACCTGCCGAGCGCCGCAGCCCCGGGGCCCCAGGGCTCCACAGGACCCTGGGCCACCTGCGCCCGCGCCCCCTGGGGCGGCCCCGCTCGCTGGTCCGCCCGCAGGGCCCAGCCGGGCAGTGGAGTCCAGAAGTCTCTGGCCCTGCGCCCCGCCCCGCCCGGGGGTCCCAGGCCCCAGCCCCACCTCGCCGCCCCGGCGCCCCGGCTGCGCACCCGCGTACACTGGGGCGCGCCCGCCCGGCAGGGACTTGGGAGACTCCCGCCGCCACCGCCGCCGCCGCCACAACTTGGCCCATTTAAATGGCCCGGGCTCGGCGGGCGGGCGGGCGCGGGCTCCAGCAGGGGGTGCGTGACGGCCGACTGGGCTCACACGGCTGGCGGCGGGGGCGGTGGGACAGGGCTGCGCCCCTGCCCTATTTCCAAGTGCGCGAGGGTGTGCGAAGGAGCGTACGCTAGCGAGAAGCTGCGCGCACCGACCGCGCCATCATTGAGGGAGTCATGGGGCGCAGCTGGGAGCCCCGGACTACACTTGGGGAGTGGGCGGGCCCAGGACCGAGAGTGGGCTCCTGGCGCAGGAGGGACCTGTGATTAGGAGCGGCCCGCTGGCCTGGCGGTTCTGGGTAGGAGTGTTTTCACAGCGGCGGTGGGTGGTGGGCATCAGTGTCGGGCGTGGGTGGTCTCCTCTGCATCTGCAGGTTGTGTGGCTGTGGGTTTGTGGTGTGTGGCCTCTGCAAATGTGTTGGGGAGGTTTCATGTTCTGTGAACAACAGGACAACGATGCTGTCAATTACCGCCGCCTTACTACTCTGCACTTTACATGCCTTAGTTCACTTGATCGTCTCAATATGAGTTTTCCTCATTATTCTCATTTTATAGATGAGGAGGGTGAGACACAGAGAGGTCAAGTAACTCTCCTGATGTCATACAGCTGTTTTAAATCCAGGCTCTCTGACTCCAGGACAAACAATATCTGAGCCATGCTGTGGGGCAGGAAGGTGGGCTAGACGCAGTCTGGTTGAGGGATGGAAGATGTGGGGAGGATGAGGGGCCGATGAGTGCGAGATTGCACACTTGAGCACATTTCTGTTCCCTAGTATGAGCCAGTCTGGGGAAGAGGAACCCTCTACACTCATGTCCACTTTGGTGCCTTGAGGAAGCAGGTCAGCCTTGGCCCAGTCCTGGCATGAGGGTGGCTTGTCCCTTGGTGTTCAACTCCCATCTCCCTGCAGGCCAGCAGCCCAGCATGCCGGCCTTGCAGTAGAAGCATTAGGAAGAGAAACAGAAACCTACTAATAGCTGATGAGACAGGTTTGTCTTTCTCTGATGTGTTATTCTGAACAAGCTAGAAAGTAGCCTCAGATCCCATCCCAGCGCCTAGACCCCCACTGAGATGCATTTGGCATGGCATTTTTGTGGGCATCTCTCTGACCAGGCTCTGGGGGGTTGAGCTGGACCACAGGCGTGCTTGCATGAGCACCTTGTGCAAGGGAGTGATGGAAGTGAGGGAGCACCCCACCCTCACCCACCTCCTCCCAGGCACCTGCACCAGCTGGGCATGAGCCTGACCCCTGGCTCCTGCTCTGCTCTCCCTTGCTGATGCACACTGCCAAGATCATCTGCAACTGAGGCACCAGCCAGCCCCAAGACTGACTTGGGGAGCAAGGTCTGGGCTGAGACCAGGAACGTGTCTGGGAACCTATGCACCCAAACCTCTGTATCCCCCTTCTGCTCTACTCTTTGTACATCTGCCTGCTGGGATTTAAGGGGCCAGGTGTGAATGTGGGTGTGAAAGTGAGTGGTCCTCTATGGTGTGCCACCCTCAGCCCGGTTGCCCTCCGTGCAAACTGGACACCTGCACATGCCTGACCCTAGGTGCACACTCACCTTCTGTGGTCCGCGTCTTCCTCTCAGGGGTGCTGCCTCCATGTCTAATGGATGCAGGAGGCTGTTCCTGCCCAAGAGCCAAGGCCCACAGAGGAGCCATCATGCTACGCTGTGGTCATGGCACAGTGTGGAGAGGTTATCAGGGCTCAGCGTGAGGCCAACTGTCTGGCTACAGCCCTGACACTGCTTTCAAGAGATGGTCCCCTCCACTCAGGTCTTCTCATGTTTGCCTGCACCTATTCACTGACCCTTAGGCCTCCTAACCCCTGACCTGTAAACTGAGGTTTGGGGAGGGAAGGCTAGTGAAGTTTATCTCTAGATCTGAGAAGGTACCACGTAGCCTGTGGAGGGGGCCTCCCTTCCCTACTGCAGGACCACCCTTGACTCACCCCTGACTTCTTTCATCCTGAACAGGCCCACAGTGGTGAAGGAGGGGCAAAGAAGGCCCCAACTCTGGCTTTCGGAAGTGGAACCCAGCTGGCAAGGTAAGGGGCCTAAACTAACCTAGCTCACCCAGCCTAACCTCCATGCTACTAGATGGTTCCACCTCTCTCTGGAGGATCAAGGGGCTTCCTAAAATGACCATGACTGGGTTCAAAGCTCCCTGCAGGACCC